TTACCGAAGTCATCGTCACTTTTAGAGAAGACCTCTCTATGCTGATGAAGAAGAGAGCTGAGTTGCTCAAACTCAGCTGTGGATAACGTTTCTCTGTCAACATTCACTGGTATCGGGAGTTCCTCGACAGGGGTTACCCTGGGGTATGCATCTGGCTCCCCTTCAAGACGCACCTCTACTTCATGAAGTCCAAGTTCTATTAACTCCAGTGAGGATGGCTGATCTTGGAGGACTTCAGTGACATCACTCAATTGGGCTAGTCGCATTCCGTGGTGCACTTTTACGTCCCACTGGTTAGGGTTGGCAACTCTCACTGGAACGCGACCATCACGGATCATGCAAACTGCACGGGCCACCATCAAGTGCTTTGGTAGGAACTTTGCAGCTGTTGGTTCAACTAGGACTGGACCTTCTCTGGATGTGGACTGACGGAAACTCCCAGGGATTACGACTTCAGTACCACCTGGTATTACAATGGATCGGGGGTTAGCAGCATACACAAAGCTAACTGGGTCGTCACTGTCTTTGGCACGAGAAATGGGAATACATGTATCTGCTTCCTCTGTCTTCAGGAGTCGCTGCCACGTCTGTATCGGCCGTGATTGTGGCTTGGACTGGAAATGGGTGGAGTGAGGGTTCTTGAAAAGGACATCTTGGCACCTGCAGAGTATATTCATGCCAATGATACATGTACTTGTTGCAGTTGACTCTCTAAGAACAAAGAACACTGCTTTCTCAATGTCACATCCCATCAGGCTGATGTTAAGCTCAACTACTCCTTGATATGGGATGTCTAGGCCGTTAGCTGCCACAAGACGGATGAATGGGTTAGCCAGGCTGTTAGAGTTGAGGTTGTTATGGAAGTGTTCTTTGAATAGCTCATCTGAAATAGTGGAGACCTGTGATCCTGTGTCCAACAGGCTGGGAACAATAACTCCTTCCATATCAACGTCAATATATAAACAGTCTCCAACGGCCTCATCCGGTGCAACGGACCTCTGTTGAGATATGTTAGGGTGTTCCAGTGTCTGGCCCTCGACACTGGAACATCCTAGTTTAAAGGTGCTGGCTTCTGGGGGCTCTGGCTCTGGAAAGGTTGGGTCACATACTGCCTTCTGTTCTCTGGACACTCCCGAGCCATGTGACCTGGTTTGTTGCAATTCAAACAGATTGGGTTCCCCTGGTCATCCCATCTTGGTTGTCGTCTTGGCCTGCTCTGGTAGTTTCCACTGGGTGAATGACTTACGCGTAACTGATTCAACTCTTTCCTCATGGCAGCCACCATTTCTGCCATTTCTTTTTGCTGCTCGACGGTCCTCTGTACAGCCTCATGTAAGGTCTGCAAAAGTGCTGGAGGCTGAGGATTTTCCAAGCGTGACGCCACAGTGTGCACACTGACACTCTCCTCATGGTCAGCCATCAGTTGAAGCGCTTCAGCCAGTACGTCTTTGAATTTGAGGGTTGGCTTCCGCCGAAGATCTGACTTGAGGGACCTCAGAACTTCCTGATTCTGGAGACCTTGGATGAATCGGTCTCTCAGCATCTCATCCTGCTTGGCCAGGGCCTCGGGGTCACGTTTCTTAATCCGGCTGGCGATCTCTAGAAGAGCGAGGGAGAACTCCCTCACAGTCTCCTCTCTTCTCTGCTTCCTACTGTGAAAGGACTGAAGAAGCGCCGAAATTGGTGTTTTATCTCCGTAGACTTCTAGGAGTCGCTCCAAGATCACCTGGCTGTCCTCTCGCTCGTCTGGCTCCATGACCAACACAACTCTCTTAGCTTCTCCCGACAGATATTTCAACAGGAGTTGAGACTGCTGATCAGCTGGGGTCTGCCATGACTGGAAGAGGGACTTCATATCTCTCACCCACTCTTCCACATGGGGGTCATTTGGGCTTTGAGGGCGCCCGACGAAGACTCCCACCCTGAAGTCAAATGGCACATACGCCACTTGATTTAGCACAGGGGCCGCCCCAGCTCCTCCCGCTGCCTTCTCTCCATTCATTGTGATGTCGGTTATCCCACTTCTGACACTTTGTAAAGGATGGTGACTCTTGTTCTTTATAACCGACTGAAATGGAGAGGGAACAGAGGAAACAGCGGCTTAGTTGGTGGGAAAAATAGCACTTATTTATTAAACCAAACATATCTAAATCAAAAGAGTTTACATTAACTACATGGTTAATATAATCCTGATAAAGCAAAACTATAGGATAAACTTAGGTGTCATGGAAGAACTAAAAGAAGTAAATTCCTAACAATTGAAACTTATCCTGATCGAGCCGACTACATAAAGCAAAAACTAAAAACTCAGTGTTGATTGGAAACACAACTATTACCAAATATCCAGTCTCAATAAAAGTGAGAAATGAAACTTTACATTCATAAAGAAACAATTAACAGGATAAATCCAAGGCATTTGCTTAAGCCATTACTCTACATCAAATAGGCCTATAAACAAGATAATATTTATTAGCTCTTTTCGACTCAGAACTGGACAGTCTGTTATCAAGTCAGAACTTGGCCAAATAACCAAAACAGACTATTATATTGACAAGAAAGGGGGGGGGGCAAATGTGACACTCTTTCCAGCCACTTTATATACACTTAAACCAAAATAAAGAAAAACATAACAATCTAACAAGACAGTTTCAGCCTAGCTCAGGAGACAGGAGACTAATATAAACAATAGTCTTTCCTATGAAACAAGAAGTCTGGATTCTAGAACCTCTCATAGCCTGGCACTTGCCTCTGATAACGAAATAAAAGGGGTTTGTTATGTTGGGAGACATAAACAAAGGCTAGCCTAGTCCTCAGCCTCTACTGACCAGCCCCCAGGGCATGGAGTTAATTATCCTACCATATGGCTAAAGGAATGTCCACCCAGGGCTCGGACCATGCTGTCTGAGTATACCCTTCACTGTACAGTGAAAAAGGCACTGTCTCAGAAAACTAAAATATAAAGGCGACTTTTCTCCCTAAAAAATACTATACAAGTTGGAAAAGTCAAATCAAACTACAATGTCAATCAAATCTATGAAGTATGAACTTTCATTAAAGGGAATATACAACATTTGCAAACATCGAAAAATAAAACTACCAAGTTTTTGCGAAATATCTTAATAGGATGTTGGTAAATGACAGTCTAAAGCATCCTGTAAAATTATGGCACCTGGTATACTGTCATTTTCAAGAAAAGTGGTATTTTTGTATCAATTTCCAACGCTGATCGGCCGATCAGCGTTGGAAACAACTGGCTTTTTTTCAAATACTGGCCCCAATTGACCATCGCACTTGTTTGCAATCGATTACAAACCTATGAACGGGTACGAGCCAGCTAGACTGGTTCCCTGACCTTACAATTCCCCAATGTATGTAAACTGCTCTGTTTCTTCTTATATGGAGTCAGGGAACCAGACTACAGGAAAATGATCGTTTTTCTTGGTTTTTATAGCATTTTCGAACCCAAAACCTCCAAAAAGTCAGTGTAACTATATTTGCTTTATATTTCCAACCCCCCAATCCCATCCATTTCTGAAAATTACAGCAAAAGCAAATGATGTATATTCCCTTTAACTCTAGCTACTTGATCACAGTTGACTTCAGTAAAACGAAAAATAAAGAATAAAAAGTCTACTCTGATCCAGAATAAGGCCATTTCGGACCAGTGCAACCATTGTTTCACATAGTGGAAATATCTATGAAAGTCACTAACTTTCTCCAAGTTTAACTACAATAAAACAATACTTCCTGAAATCAAAGTCAAACAAACTAACATCTATATTAATCTATACAATTTCCACTTCTGTTTGTATGTGAAAACTAAGGATAAGATGTAAATAAAAGTAACTTTTCCTACCTGAAATGGAGAGGGAACAGAAGAAACAGCGGCTTAGTTGGTGGGAAAAATAGCACTAAGGCATGTTAGGCCACACCACCCCAAACCACTGAACCCTCTGGGCTCAGGGGTCAGTCCACTTTCAAGTAGGGGTTACCAGGGTAGAGCAAAGATTTAACTTTAAGTGTGAAGGAGACCTGTTGGTTAAATTTGTTTAATGTACAAAAAGAGAATGGGGGGGGGGAGAGATTGTGATCTATAAATGAGGGGGCCTCATTTACATATATACCCACTCATTTTATTATTATTAAGGGAATAAATGTGTGCTCCTGAGGTTTTTATCATTCTGTTTAAGACCGCTTAGAGTCTGGGTGCTGATAATTACCCGAGCCGGGTGCTGATAATTATCCGAACCGGAGGCGAGGGTAATTATCAGTACCCAGACTCTAAGCGGTCTTAAACAGAGTGATAAATACCGACCGAGCACATATTTATTCCCATTCATAAATACCTTTTCGGTAAAAAAATGTCAAATAATTCGTTCAAAAAATCCCAATTTTGTTCAACAAGTTTACTTCATGCTTTTTGAAACGTCCCTCTAGCAAAATAATGGAGTGTTCAGCTGGCGAGTAAGATGTAAACAACCCTTTTATGGAGATTGACGCGCGCGTAGCATGTTCTGCCCGATGTTGTACAGAACGCACCTGGGGCGTTGCGTTTTGAATTTAGAACTATAAAATTCTGACTCGCTGGTAGTGTTGCGCATGCCTACGTGAGGATTGTGAACGTTCAACCAATGAAACGGTAAGAGGCACTGGATTTTTAGGAGTCCACATTTCATTGTGACACTGGAAAAGTGTTTAAGACCAGCTGGCCATGTCTTTATCATCCGTTTAAGACCGGCCACGTGACGGGCTCTCGACCACTAGGAATAGCTACACTGTCTGAGGTATTTATGAATACATATTTAAACTGACTTAACCAAAGTGAGATAGTTGGCTGGCTACTTCAATTCCCTGAATGATCATGTTGAATCCTCCCAGCATGGCTGTCAGAGATTTCCTGTTCATTAGGCCTATCCGTTGAGAAAAAGAGTCTGATGTCAGTAGTCTATGATCAAAATATTCAAGTTATATCAAGAAGTCTTTCTGTCATAACAACTTACGATTACATCGTGGAGAGTAGAAGCCTCGGTTACAGTTGCTGCAGTAGTCAGGACGTGTGCAATCCCCTCCATTGGGACACGAATCAGTATGGCCAAAACAAATGGCTTGGTAAGAAATGAGAAAACAAATCAATGAATGCATGATACTTACAGGCATAATTGATTTGATGAACATTTGTGTGTGAGCTTGGTTGGTTACTTGGAAGGACTTCCACAAGGGAGCATAACTAGGAGGCCAGAAACACAAACCCCCTTCTCTTAGCGATAAGTGTTACTGGGTTCTTTTACGTGTGTTAGGCTTACAACACACGGGACCTCCGGCTTAACATCCCATCTGAAGGACGAAGCAATAATGGTTAAGTGCCTTGCTTAAGGGCAAAAGTGTCCGGGCCCGGGCTCGAACCCGCCTCACTGTTGCCTAGCTGAAACACCAGAACATGAGTCCAGTGCTCTTAACCACTAGGCCATATGACACTCCAGAGCTGTTTAAAGCTAAAGCATATAATATAACACTAGTCCGATAATTTTGGACTCTCAATTCTGTGTAATGAGAGTCCCAAAACTTAAGGTATTGAAAACATGCAATACCAGAAAACAGACTGGCACCTGAAACAACCAGACCAACAGCGCTGCATCAATCAACCATGCCAACAGAATTTAAGAAACATTTGGCATGAACCGAGAACAAGTCTCAATTTACTACACATTTCTCCTCAGTCAGCCACCAGACTAATGTCACTGAATGAAGAAGTTGGTCTTTTCAAACAATTGGACCATGGTCGGACCTGTACCAGTCTAGTCTTTAGCCTCATTTTGAAATCACTTGACTTCCCTCTCATGTGCAAAATATTGAAGAAAAATCTCCTTAATTCAAACATTGAATTGAGTCTGCAAACTTGGTTGGTGAAATACTGAGGACCTTTCCTTTGCCCAGTGGAATTTTTTGGAGAAATTTGCTGGCTAATGTGAGTAAAGTTGGCCTAATTTAGTTTTGCACATTTCAGAGCACTCCAGAGCCCTGTCTGTAATAACACCTGAGGCAATTAAATTAGAAAAAAACCCAAAATTTTCTAAAAAACTTGGTCAAAACAGTCAACTTACGGGTTGTGCAGCCACTTGATGTACTTCCAGTCCATCCTGTGCAACACCGATAGCAGGTTCTATCCCTGTATGATAGGAATAATCCTGAATATGATTTTGACCATTACATGTATTTGAATTCAAAGCTACTGCGTTTGACCAGGCACTTTCAGTGCACTGCCCTTTATCAGATCAGATCAGTTGTACAAGGAAGGCCCACTGGTTGCCCTAGCAACAACCACCACTGAGGGTCTTAGGCCCTACATTGTGGTCAGTGTGGTCAGCATGAGCTACTACACATGTAGTAGTTCATTCCATTCTAAACTATCGTCCTAATAATTAAATTAATAACAGAAGATATTCTCTGAAGCAAAGCTCAGCAATCCTTTCCCATCCTTGATCAATATGTACTTACCCATCTACCCTTTTCTTGCTGTAAAAATAAACTTGTACAAGAAACGAATATCCGGGTCATACACATACAATTAAGGATATCTGATGGGTATAGGGTAGCCCCATGCACTAACTGGGTCACTAGAACTCCTTTTTTTGACATTTGGGATGTTGGTCTGTCGTACAGACAGACCAACATCCCAAATGTCAAAAAAGGAGTTCTAGCGACCCAGTTACTGGGACTAGGTATAGGGATGATCTGTACAAATTAAGTTGTGTTCTCCATTTCCCTTATAGATAGTGCCATTTTCAAGTTTCAACCTGACACATGCATCCTTTTTTAATTTTTTTTTTCTAGCAATAGTTGTTCACTTTTTGAATGAAACATCCAACAACAAAATCACTTCACGTCCATGTCAAGCTATGGAATGTCATCTTTAAGCCCGGTTCAAGTACGGCGCAAAAGCAAAAGCGAATGTGAATTTGTGACATCATGGCATATCCCCATACTCCTAGAACTATGGGGTCCTCTCATAAGTCCAATAAGGTCCGCCGCCTCATAGGTCCGACAAAATCGCATCCCCCAACCAAATAAAGGCCCATTTAATAGTCCGACATCTCACAGGTCCGGTGCCTCATAAGTGTGATGCCTCATACATGTAGGTCTGACACCTCATACGCTTCGTTTTTCCGACGTCGGACTTATGACGTGTCGGACTTACATGTATGAGGTGTCGGACCTATGAGGCTGAATAAATAAATGTACATTGTTATGCCTCATTATAGTCCGAGTAACTTGGACCCAACTTATCGCCTTTTTTAACATTTGGACATAGTCTGGCGATACTGCCAGACCGTGTCCAAATGTTAAAAAAGGCGATAAGTTGGGTCCAAGTTACTCGGACTAGCCTCATTACTAGTCCGACGCCTTATGCGTCGGACCTATGAGGCGTCAGACTTATGATACGGCCCCGAACAATGATGCTCCGCTCTGCGGAGCAGTCGTGGCAAGTATTCGCGCTGCAAATTCATGAAATTAGTAAAAGTTGCTTCGCAGGCCAACACTAAACAGCAGCCCAAAACAGGGTGGATCTGTTTTGTGAAAAAAAGCTACTCCTAGAACTATGTAGCCGCATAAATGTGGCCTATTTACTGGACTGCCTCCGTAAACATAGGCCACACACCCACATGAACAAAAAACGTGTCGACTTTGCCAAATTTTGATTTTCACATTTAGGCTGACTTTGTAGATTTTTTTGCTTTAGAAGCATTCTCACCCTCTATATAGGCTAATCAGAAAGTGCTGCCTTTTTCAGATGTCCATTTTTCGTGAAATTTCCAGATACATTTGCACACGTTTGCGTATCAAAATTTCAACATGAAATTTCACAAAATCAAACATCTGAAAAAGACAGCACTTTCTGATTAGCCTATAATAGAGGGTGAGAATGCTTCTAAAGCAAAAACAATCTACAAAGTAAGCCTAAATGTGAAAATCAAAATTTGGCAAAGTCGACACGTTTTTTTGTACATGTGGATGGCCTATGTTTACGGAGGCAGTCCAGTAAATAGGCCACATTTATGGGGCTAAGAACTCTGAGGCTCCACAGTGGAGCCTCATAGTTCTAGGAGTAAAAAAAAAAGCAACAAAGGTTACAGAGATGTCCAAGGTAAATACAAGTACGCTTTTTATTAAAATAAAATAGAACCATACAAATTTCAATTTATACATTTATTACAGAAACAAGTAAAAAAGCATTTGATTCGTTGACGAAAACTGGCAGTAGGCCTAGGCTATTTTGTTTTGGGTTGTTTGTTTTCATTAAATGCGCCCGCGAGTCAACTCGCCCGCGAGTCAACTCGCCCGCGAGTCAACTCGCCCGCGAGTCAACTCGCCCGCGAGTCAACTCGCGCCCTATGCTCTGACCAGTCTTCATCGACAATTTTCTGTCTTCCGTCTCCTACTTCTGTAATTATACAAGACCTGGTTTTAATTGAGTTCTTGAGAATAAAATAATTTCTCCATAATTATAGCCGAGCTCCGTGTGTCTTGTATTCTTCATAGTCATCGTTCATTCCGTTCTTAGCCACAGCTACCGTATCCTAACATATAGTTTATAGTCAAACCTTCCAAAGACTATAGCCAAATCTATATGTTACACTATCGTTAAACCACACTTTTTTATATTTTACGTGCATAACTTTGTTCACAACTAAACCTTATGGCGTGATAGCTATTTTACATAAATGAATGTAATTATGTCATGAGTTTTAACATTAAGAAGCCTTATTGCAAACAATACATAATTTCAAGCTTCAATTTATAACTTATGAACGAGCAACACGATTTAACCATTGCATGAATGATACGAAGATCGACAAAGCAAAAATAATGTTCTGGTTTGAACAACGCTTGGATTTAAGCAGCTCTTAATCATAGTGCTTGTAGGCCTATACATCGAAGAGTACAAACACCAAAGATTGTCTCATGCGGAACAATACAAATTAATACATTCAAAATATTAATTTGATATTATAGTGGTCAGCAAACTAGGGAGTAAAATTCTAAAATCTGAACTTGTGATGACATCTGAACTTTTCAGATGTGGTATATAAAAGAAAAAGCAAGCTGATCTAAGAAGCATATTCAGCTCGAGGGCGGATGGAACACAAGGGTTTTTTTTGGGGGGGGGGGCAAAAAAAATTCCCCCCCCCCCGAAAAAAAGTGGGTAAAAAATTACGGCGAGGGGTTCGGAGCCCGCATAAGGGCCCTGATTTTTTTTTTTTTTTTTTTTTTGATTCTAGATGCTCTGTGGTGCGATCTGAGGCAATTTCTGACCACTTTAACCAATTTTGTTTAAGGAAAAGATGGTGGTCCAGTGTATGCAGTGCCTGCCTTTATTGCGACGTCACTTGAAAAAAAATGGGTTCGAGGTTTTTTCCGCCGGGTAGCAAAACAAGAAAAGAAAGAAGTTATTCTCCAACAACTTGACATATAACGCTGCTTTCACCCATAGGGACACACCGCGGCCCTGAAAAAAAAAGGATAAGTAAGATGACATTCAACAACACATGGATGAAATCCAGGAATCATGGAAAACTACGCCTGTAAATTAACACATTAAAACAAATTGTTCCCGTTGAGGCCCTACGCGTTTTTGTCTAGAACGCTAATTTACTAGTATGAGTGGTATACAGGGGCGTATATAGCAAGGTCATTTTTGTTGGGGGCGGATTACTTGAAAAGGGCACTTGTACATCCGTGCTGAAATGTAGACACGTATTTTCTTTAAAAAGGGCACTTGTTCAGAAAAAAGGGCACTTGTCAACAAAAGAAGGGCACTCTTTACAATTTTTTTTGTTGGGGGGGGGGTTAAACGCTGGTGAAAAAGGGCATTTGAATGGAAAAGGGCAATCTTTACAAAATATGGGGGGGGGGGGGTAAATACACCCCTACCCCTAGGGGTTTGGTGCAAATTCAGTGTACTTTCACAAGGTTAAAAATGCTCTTCCCGTGTTTTGTTTTAAATTTCACCCGATATAGATTTCGATTTTAAAGTGCTGAAGTTAGAATAAGACATTGAACTAAACTAATTAAAAAATT